AAATTCAATGACTGGCAAAAACCTATACTTCAAAACTAAAGGAGACATTAAAATATTCCAAGATAAACACAATCTGAGAGAGTTTATCACTAGATGACCTGCCTTATGAGAAAAATTATAGGGAATCCTTCAGGCTGAAATAAATGCACACAAAGAAAGAGCACTAGTAAAGTTGACTACATAGGTAAACATAAAATACAGTATAAATGTTTTTGTCTTTGTAACTTTTTCTTGTCCTATCTGACTTTAAAAATCAAAAGATAACTGCATAAAGCAATAACTATAAAACTGTTGACGGACTTAAAATCTATAAAGATGTAATTTGTATGGCAACAATAGTACAAAGGAGGAAGGAGAGAACAGAACTAAACAGGAACAAAGATTTTGAATATTACTGAAATTAAGATGGCATTAATACAAACTAATTTGTTCAAGCTAAGATGTTAATTATAACACCCATGGCAACTACTAAGAAAATAACTAAAAAAATAATAAAAGCAGCAACAAGTTAATTAAAATGATATACTGGAAACATCTGTTTAACATAGAGAAATAAATGAGTGATAGAGGAACAAAAAAGATATAACATATACAGAAAACGAATAGCAAATGGCAGATACAAATCCTACCTAATCGGACTCCTATTAAATACATGAAATATAAATAAACTAAACACTCTACTCAACTCAATTGGAAGAATAGATTTTAAAAAAGAAAACACGATCTACTTGCTGTCTATACTTTAGATTAAAAAAAAGGTTGAAAGTAAAAGGATGGAAAAAGATATTCAATACAAAAAAGAGTCAAAGTAGAGCACGGTATAAGAAAGTTGAGTCTTTTCTCTTTTTTCCTTGGTGAGTCTAGCTAAAGGATTGTGAATTTTGTGAATCAATTTTTGGTTGTTGATTTTCTCTATTTTTTAATTCTCTATTTATTTTGACTTTAATCTTAATTTCCTGCCTTCAGCTTGATGTGGGTTTAGTATGCTCTTTTTGTAGTTTATTTTTTTTAAATTAACCTTTTTAGAGCAGTTATAGGTTCACAGCAAAATTGAAGGAAGGTACAGAGATTGCCCACATACTCCCATCTCCACACATGTATAGCTTCCCCCATTATCAATACCACCCATCAGAATGGTATATTTGTTACAAATAATGAACCTACATTGACACATCATAATTACCCAGCCTATAATTTACATTATAGTTCATTCTTAGTGTTGTACATTCTATGGGTTTGGACAAATTTTTATAGTTTATAAAGCAGAAGTTTTGGTTATCAATTTGATATCTTTCTTCTTTACTAATATGGGCATTTACACCTTTATATATCCCCCTAAATACTGTTTTCACTGCATTTCATAAGTTATAATACACTGTTTTGTTTTTATTCATCTCAAAGTATTTTCTAATGTCCCTTGTGGCTTTTTCTGATCCATTGGTTATATGGTATTTAATTTCTGCATATCTGTAATTTCCTAAATGTCCTTCTATTATTGATTTCCAATTTCATTCCACTGTGAATAGAAGTGGTGAGAGTGTACAACCTTATCTTATTCCTGATTCTGGGGGAAATTTTTCAATCTTTCACCACTAATTATGACGTGAATTAATTAACACAAATATGTGGCCAATTCATTTCTGACAAAAATGCAAAAGCAAGTAAATGGAGAAAGAATACTCTTTTCCACAATTAGCTCTGGAACAACTGGACATTCATAGGCAAAAAAGTGAACTTTTATTTAAACCTCACACCTTATACAAATATAAAGTCAAAATGGATCATAGATCTAAATGTGAAGTATACAACTATAAAACTGTTAGAAGGAAACAAAGGAAAAAATCTTTTTCATAAACTGATGTTAGACAAAGTTCTTAGACATGAAAAAAACCCCATGATCCACAAAAGAAAAGTTGACACGCTGGATTGTATCAAAATTTAACACATTTGCTCTGAGGCAAAAAACGGAAAACAACAAAATGCTGCTGAGAAAAACGACATCCTGTGTTCATGGATTGAAGACTTAATGTTGTTATGATGTCAATACTACCCAAAGTGATCTACAGATTCAATGCAATTCCTATCAAATTCCCAATGACTATTTTTTTGCAGAAATAGAAAACTCCATCCTAAAATTCATATGGTATCTCAAGGGACCCCAAATAGCAAAAACAATCTTGAAAAAGAAGAATAAAGTTGGAGGTCTTGCACATCCAGATTTCAAAACTTACTACAAATCCATAGTAATTAAAACAGTACAGGCACTAGCATAAAGACAGACATATATATCAATGGAATAGAATGGAAAACCTAGAGAGCGACTCTTGCATTAATTGTCAACTGATTCTCAGGGAGGGTGCTAAGACCATTCAATGGGGAAGGACAATCTTTTCAACAAGTAGTACTGGAAAAACTAAATATCAACATGCAAAAAAATGAAGTTGGATCCTTACCTTATACCATACCATATACAAATTTAACTCAAAATGGACCAAAGACCTAAATGTTAAGAGCTAAAACTATAAAACTCTCAAAAGACGATATAGGGGAAAAGCTTTGTAACATTAGATTTATCAATGATTTATTGGATATGACAGCAAAAGCACAGGAAACAAAAGAAAAAAATGACAAATTGGACTTCAGAGAAAATAAAAACTTTTGTGCATCAAAGGGCACTATCAACAAAGTGAGAAGGCAACCCATGGGATGGGGGAGAAAATATTTGCAAATCATGTATCTGATAAGGGACTGACATCCAGAATACATGAATTGCTCCTACGACTCAACGACAAATAAACAACCTATTTAAAAAATGGGCAAACGACTTAAATAGACATTTCTCCAAAGAAAATATACGAATTACTAAAAAGCACATGAAAACATGCTCCACTTTACTAGTCATTAAGGAAATGCAAATCAAAACCACAGTAAGATACCACTTCGCACCCATTAGTATGGCTATTATAAAAAATAATAAAAACGTAAGTGTTGGCAAGGGTATGGAGAAACTGGAATCCTTGTGCATTGCTGGTGGGAATATCGAATGGTACAGCCTCTGTGGAAACCAGTATGGTGGTTCCTCAAAAGATTAAACATGATTCAGCAATTCCACTTCTGGGTATATACTAAAAAGGACCGAAAGCAGGGACTTGAACAGGTACCTGTGCATCCAGGTTTAAAGCAGCATTATTCACCATAGCCAAAAGGTAGAAGCAACAAAAGTGTCTATTGAAAGATGAACGTTAAAACAAAAATGTGGTAGATACGTACAATGGAATATTATTCAGGCTTAAAAAGGAAGGAAATTCTGACACATGCTGCAACACAGAAGACCTTGAAGACATTATGCTAAGTGAAATAAGCCAGACATAAAAGGATAAATACTGTATGATTCCACTTATATGAGCTACCTAGGGTAGTCAAATTCTTAGAGATAGAAAGTAGAATGGTAGTTGCCAGGGGTTGAGTGGGGGAGGGAGAAATGGGGAGTTAGTGTTTAATGGGTACAGAGCTTCAGTTTGGGAAGATGAAAAAGTTCTGGAGATGGATGGTGGTGATGGTTGCATATCGATGTGAATGTACTTAAAGCCACAGAACTGAACACTTAAAAAATGGTAAAAATGGTCACCTTTATGTTAGGTGTATTTTATCAAAATAAAAGAAGTTTGCTCTGCAAAAATCAGTCTGAAGTGAATGAAAAGACAAGCTATAGACTGGAATAAAATATTTGCAAGTCAGATAACCAACAAAGAATTGCATTAAGAATATATAAAGAACTCTCAAAAGTCATCAGGAAGGAAATAAACAACCAAATTAAAAAACAAGAAAAGATCTGAATAGACATTTCAGCAAACAGGATATAGGATGGCAAATAAGCATATGAAAAGATGTTGAACATCATTAGCCACTAAGGAAATGCAAATTAAAACTACAATGAGGTACTACTTCACAGTTAATAGAGTAACTAAAATAAATACCAACAATACCAAATGCTGACAAAGATGTAGAGCAACTTGGAACTCTCATACATTGCTGGTGGAAATGCAAAATGATTCAGCCACTCTGAAAAATGGTTTGGCAGTTTCTTACAAAGTTAAACACTTACCATATGACCCAGTAATCCCACTCCTAGATATTTACCTTAGAGAAATAAAAATTGTATGTTCACAAAAAAACCTGTATAAGAATGTTCATATCAGTATTATTCATAATCACCATTTCCTGGAAACAGCCCAAATGCACTTCAATGTGTGAATGGATAAACAAACTTTGGAACATCCACTCAATGGAACGCTACTAAGCAAAATGAATGAACTACTGATACACATAACAACTTGGATGAATCTCAAAGGCATTATGTTGAATGAAAGAAGCCATTCTCAAAAGCTTACATATTATATGATTCCATTCGTATGACATTCTCTAAAAGACAAAACTATAGTGATGGAAAACAGATCAGTGATTGCCAGAGATTATGGGTGGTGTTGGGGCTGACTATCAATGGATAGCATGAGGAAGTTTTAGGGTGATGGAGCTGTTCTCTATCCTGATCGTGGTGGTGATTACATGAATCTACACGACTGACAATTCACAGAATTGTACATCCAAAAAAATCAGACAGTTTTATTGTAAATTCATTTCAAAAAAATAGAAGAAAATATTGGCTATATCATCATTATCAATAGTTATACTTTACTGATTAATAAAGATATTCTGAATTAGTTGTGAAATAGGATCTAAAATCATTAAGGTTGTTTTATGTCTGGTAGAATAACTTAAAGGTATAGAGAAAAAAATCAATAACACTAAATGTAAAAATTTAAAATTTCTACTAGCTCCTTTTTTTAATATTCTGTATAAGGATAATATGCTCCCTCCGGACCATTTTCTATGAACATTGTTATATACTGGATATGGAATTAAGTAAGCACTCAACTTGGAAGTCTAGGACTCTAGGTTACATTCCTAAATCTAACACTGTAAGAAAACTCTCGACTTGCCTTTTGTGCCTAATTTTATCTTCCTCTTCATTGAGGTCATGTACTTGTCTGCACTTGTCTTTTTGTGGTATGCTGTGAAGGTTTAAAGCAAGGAGTTTCAAAGATAGGAAAAAGAACAGATTCATACACCACCCACCACCCACCCCAAATACCAAGCACTGCTCTAAGTGATTTACATGTATTATTTCACTTCATCCTCCTAACAATCCTGCAATATAGCTACTATTAATATTCTCAGTTTAAAAATGAAACTGAAGCTTCTAGGGGGAAACATGCCCCAAATCGTAAAACTAGTAAGTGGAGAACCAGGATTTTCCCAGCAGTCTGCCTCCAGAATCCATGTTCTTAATCGCTAAGCTATGTCTCTTCACAAAAGGCTATTTGTTAGTTCTTTTCCTTCCCTCACCACTGCTCTTCCATGTCTATGGTCTCACTGTCTCTAACAATTCATTCATTCTCATGGCTTTACCTGTCATCTACGCATAGATGAGTCCCAGTCCTGTAGATCTGGTTCTGACCTCTCCCCGAGCTTCGCTTCTGCATGTCTAACAGCCTCTTCAATATCTGCATTTCACGATCCTGCCATTCTCACAAATTCAACATGCTTAAACTCAAACTCATCATCTTCCCTCAAAATTTCCCCATAAATGCTTTCTTAATTTTGTTAATTGTTTAGTCACCTAGCCTTGAAACATCTGGATTACCTCTGACACATTCCTCTCCATTAACCCTCCTCCTTAAGTCTCAGTCAACAAGTTTTACCAATTCTTCCTTCGTAATGTCTCTTATAACCATACCTATGTCTCTTCACATCTCCACTGCCATCATTTCAGTCCAGATCCTCATGCCTAAATGACTGTAGTACCTCCTAAATCATTTTCCCTGCTTCCAGTTCTTCTCTCTCATTCTATTTCTTGGTCATCATATTAATCATGTTAAAATACAACTTTTATCATGTTCTTCCTGGCTGAAATACCTTTAACTATATCCAAAGTAACTAACCGAATAACTCTGCATAGAGTTAGACTACCCACCAAAGAAAGGTCAAAAATTTTAGCTAACTTGTCTCTGATAACACCCTCAAACATGCCATAGTGCTTACACGATCTGCTGCAACTGAAATGCCTTTCCCTCTCCTTCCTAAAGAACAGGTACTATTAAAAAAATTTAAATCTTACCTCCTCGGAGAGGCCTTCTTCAGTCGTGCCAATGCACAGTGGCCTTTCTCTCCTCTGAACTCTTACAGCACTTAATAACTGTACGTCACATTGTTACTAGATGCCACTTTTCTCTCTCCAACCAGACTGTAATTGGCGCCAAGTCAGAAATCATTTCTTAAACTTCTGTGCACCTTCCACAGTGCCTAGCAAAACTTATCTGTTAAACTCACTCTTTCTCGTTAAGATATGGACAATTTATCTATATATTTTGTGCTAATTTATACTTCAGCCTAAAGACCTTTTACAATCTAGCCTCGCCTACCTTTCCAGTGTCATCTCCCTGCTGTATCCTATACTGCCTGCCACACTGAACTTTTTCATTGTTCCCTAGACACGCCAGGTCCTTTCACAGTCCTGTTCTTATTTACCCATTATCTATAATGCCTTCTCCCCCTTATTTACCTGACAAATGTCTACTGATCTGTCAAGACTCAATAAAAATGTCAACTTATGAATCCCCCAACTAGACTTAGATGCTCTCTATGTTCTGTGCTCCCTCAGCATCTTATTCACATCCCTATAATAGCAATTTCCATGCTGAACTGCAACTAACTCTGGACATGTTTGTCTCTCTCATGGGACTATACATTCCTCAAGAGTAGTGATAGTGTGTATTTCCCTCACTCCCTTCTCTAACTCTTCATATTTAGTGCCCTGATGTTAAATCTCTCTCAGTGAATGAATATTTCAAAGTTAGTGGTGACCACATACCTTGGTAATAAAGAGCCTTAAGGAAGGAGTGACGATCAGCTCCCTGAAATAAAGAGTTTTCTATTTCCATTTCTCGCCGGGTCAGCTGTTTGCTCTTTGCAAATCTCTGTGGCAGGCAAAGGATGCGCTGACGCTCTGAGATCCTTTCTTCAATATCTTGAAGACGGTTCTGTATTGCTTCAGGGGTTGCCCTCAGTCTCATCCTCTGAAACCAGAAAAAAAGAGATGGAATATATCATAGAGGACTCACCCTGAAAGTGATGGTCTGATGCCTCAAGTAAGATGATCAGGGCCCGAAAATGAGCATTTGTACATATGGTAGCGAATAAGTCAAAGGACAGCTTCTCTTTTACCAGGGTCCTTATCCTAGAAACTGAAGAAGATTCAGACGCAAAGCTCAGTTTTGTGAGAACTAAAAATTAAAAGGTTCTGTGCCAAGTGAAGAGATCTCGCTCTTTACTGTCCAGAAGAAACTCGCCTCACTTACCTTTTCGCCTGAAACATGGCTCTTCCAGATTAAGATTTCTGTTTCATTGAGCCCTAGTTCCCTGAGAGAAGCTGTTTCCTGGTCCTTCTCATGCAGTGTCTGGAACTGGGACAAAGTCATAGTCCCCGCTGCTTCCTTCCCAAAGGGCTTATACATAGTACCAGGAGCAAAGCTCTCTTTCTTAGACACACATCTGCAAGAAAAGCAGGAAGAGAGTAAGAACATCTTCAAGTTACCACAATTCACAGAAACGGGGCTCGCTATGAAAAGAGGCACAATGAAACTCATCGGTAATTTCTCTCAAGTCCTATTTCTAGGCTGAAGCACCACTGCAACAATATGGAATTCTACCAACAGTCTCCTCATCTAGGACCAATAAATGACTGAATCAAGTATTTATTTATTGAGTACCTACTATACACCAGACACTGTGCTAGGTACTGAGGATTTAACAGTAAAAAAGAAAAAAAAAATGTTTTCTGCTTCTGTGGAAGAACAGTGCAAAGATAGGCAAGTAAACAGGCAACGATAATGTCGGGTTATAAGTACTATATCTGCTGAGGCTTCCCTAAGTACCTTTCACAAGAAAGGTACTTAGCCCAGACGTCATAGAAAGTGGGAAGATTCCTAGAAGAAGAGACAGAGAAGCAAAACCCTGCCTGATATGTAGAAGTTTGCCAAGGCACGGGAGCGGGTGGGAACGGAGTGTTCCATCCAAACTCTAAGAGGGGTCTGTCACCTGAAGGTGAGGATCTATGATACTCTGTTTGCAAAATCAATACCTACTGCTCAATGGAGACGGCGGTATCAAGTTGATGCTGAAGGAGGCTTTTCAGCTGCCTCTCCCCTTCTGTTTCCAACTCTTCCAGGACATGCTCATCACTCTTCACACAGCTGTTTACCCTGGAATAGATATAAGAATATATTCTTTGTCTACCGTTAGTGACCCCATTTGTTCAAAAAGCCTTCTTGAACAATTTGTTGCCTTTTATTAGTCATTCTGCAAACATAAAATACCTACTTACACACAATACACTCTGTGAGGTACTGATGGAGTTAAAGATATTCAAGACATAGTCCCTATCCTTAAAAAGTTTGCAATTTACTTAGGGAGAAGGAATATTTGAGTGTATCTGTTACATGCATGTGGCT